TCCTCCTCCTTCTTTTCATCCTCCTCCTTCTCCTTCTGCTCCTCCTCCTCCTCCAACAACAACAACAACAACTCCTCTCCAACTCCTCCTCCTCCTTCTCCTCCTTCTTCTCCTCCTCCCTCTCCTTCCTCCCTCCTCCTCCCTCCTCCCTCCTCCTCTCCTCCTCCTCCTCCTTCTCCTTCTCCTCCTCCTCATCCTCATCCTCATCCTCCTGCTACTCCTCGAACTCCTCCTCCTCCTCCTCCTGCTCCTCCTCATCCTTTTCCTCCTCCTCCTCCTCCTTCTCCTGCTCCTCCTCCTCCTCATCCTCCTGCTCCTACTCCTCCCAGTAAAGGTCTCCCAAGTGGGGTCCGAGCAGATGGGGTCGGAGGGTCGCGCCGCATCGCCGATGCATCGACGATGCGGCTCGATATGGAGTCATAGTTTCTCCGCGCCTGTGGCGCCGATGCATCCCCTACGTCGTTGATGCATCGCCGATGCATCGGTGGTGCATCAGCGATGCGGTGGTGGCCCCCGACCCCATTTGTTCCTATCCCATCTTGGATGCCTCTACTCGTTCAAGGCGAGACTTCCATCCGCTGCGGTGAGCTCGACCTCGACCTCGCGCGCGTCTCTCGACGGCTTCGCCGGGCCCACGCCCTCGCGCGGCGGCCGGACCGCGCGCAGCGGCGAGCTGCCGCGGGCCGCCCCCTCCACCCCAAAGTCCCCGAAGCTGCTGAGCCTCCAGAGGATCGGGATGAGGAAAGACCAGAAGCGCAGACCTTCGCAGCCCCGCCGCGCACGGGACACACCTCAGCGTCGCAACTCCTGGGTCGCGGAGCCACACCCCCTGGGGTCCCGAGCAGGCGCGGCAGCTCGCAGCTCGATGCCGGCGTCCTTCGGATGTCCGCGGCGAACTTCTCGGGTCGGCGCCTCCCTGGCGCGCGGAGCGCGCCAGGGGCGGCGCCTCGGGGGTTCGGGCACCGAGAGAGAACGCCCACCAAGGCAAGTCCGACTGAGGAAATCTGCGCGGGTTCAGTCGACACCGGCATTCGAGTGTGCCGTTGCAGTTCTCGGTCGGTTTCGTTAGAATCGACGTGCGCTTCGCCGGATAACACACTCGGTTGTTTTAGGGCGTCGATGGGCTACCCCGCTGGGGTGCACTCGAAGTGCGGTGACGTGCTCACGTCGAGTGCCCCTGTCAGCATTCACGACAATGCGTTTTGCTAAAGGGGGGGGGCTCTGTCCACCCCCGAGAGGATACATCGCACGCTGGACCACGAGGCGAGCGGCGGCGCGAGGTTCGAGGAAGAGAACATGGCATAAACAGGAGCTTTCGGAGCTCCTTGCGGATTTCTTGGATCTGCGCTGTGTCCACTTGGCGGCGCCTGTGGCGCCGCCCCAGGCGCGCTCCTCGCGCCAGGGAAGGGGGCCAAAAGCGCCGATCCAAGGAAGCTCGCGCAGAGCTCCGAACAACATCTGTTTGTGCAGGTTGTTCTTTCTCTGCAGGTGGTGGATTAATTCCACAGAAGCCAACATCAAGGGGAAGGAACAATGGTATAACTATAACAACTCGGAGGTCCGCGCGGATTCCTCGGATTGGCGCTGGGGCCTCCTGGCAGCGCCTCCGGCGCCGCTCCTGGCGCGCTCCGCTCGCCAGGGAGGGGGGTCCTGCGCCGATCCGAGAAATCCGCGCGGACCTCCGAGTTGTTTTGTTTATGTCATTGTTTGTTTTTCCCTAGCGTCCTCTTCGGCGTCGCGGTCATGATCCACAGCCTGGTGGTGGGGTGGGAGGTCGAGGCTGCCCTGGCTGCAGAGCACCGGGGCCGCGCGCTGAGGGACCGGTGGCTCAAAGATGTGGTCCCGAGGGGTGGGGCCCTGAGGTTAAGTCGGGCGTGTCCCTCTACAGGAGGAGTATTGAAAAGTAGTCAGAAATAGTCTGGGGACGTTTTTTCGACTATGTTTTGACTTTTTTTGAATATTTCTTGTTTTTTATCTTGTCGTCCAAAATCTGCCTGTAGAAGGACACGCCCGACCTAACCCTAAGGAAAGGAAGATATTCCAGGTTCGAGGAACCCACTCTGCATAAACATAAACTTTCGGAGCTCCGCGTGGATCTCTTGGGTCTGCGCTGGAGCCCCCCGGTGTCGCCTCTGGTGCCGCCATTGGCGCGCTCCGTTCTTCGGGGAGGGGGTCTGGCGCAGATCCGAGAAATCCGTGCGGGCCTCCGATACGCTATGCTTATGGAGTTCTTTGCTCCTCCTCTACAGATTGAGCTTGCCTCGTGCGGCCTCCCTCGTTCTGAGGGCTCCATCGGGGCCCCATCCTCGAACCGCTGGAAGGACGAGGGCGGCATGGCGTGGATAACGATGGTGTTCTGCCAGGGCATGCTCAATGCCACCTTCACGGTGGAGCTCGTGCTCCGGGCGCAGGAGAAGGGCACGGCGTATCCGAGGGGTGTCGGCCTCTGCCGCCGGAGAGCCCCCCATTTCGAGGCCCGAAAACCATCACGTCACTAACAGTGGGCCCCAGGGCCCACTGAGGCCCCAGGGGTCCAGATTGGTGAAGTGATGTTTTTCCCACGTAAGGAGCCCGAAATTCATCACTTCATAAAACCGAAGCGAAGGCCGAAAGTCAGGGGCCGAATTGCTGCTGTGATGCAATTCAGGTCTCGTACCCAGGGTGGCCGGCCGAGGCTCAGTGGCATGTTCCACGTACGGTAGGTTCGTGCGGCGTTGGCGCACCGGCGACGCCGGCGAAAGCGTTCAAGGTTGAACCCTGCGACGCGGAAGCACCGAGGGGCACGGTATCGCCACTGGACCCGACTGAGTTCAACCTTGGAAGATCGGGGCCACGATCGGTTCAAGATTGACCGATCGACGCGGTGTCACAAACCTTTTTCACAGTCAGGCCCAGTCTAAAAATTTCGTGCCATGCTTGCACGTTCTTTGGCAACATTGGAGCTACCCGGGCGCAGTTGGGGTGGCCTCTTGGGGCTATGTCGGGGGCCATCTCGGTGCCTCTGTAGGAGGACCTTCGTTGGGGACCCGGGAACCCACAGGAGAGGTCCTGGGAGGCTCATGGAGCATCAGGGAGGCTCTGAGAGGTCTTTGGGCGCCCTGGGGGGCCTCGGGAGGCGTCGGGGGCCTCGGGAGGCTTCTGGGATGCCCCAGGATGCCTCTTCGGAGACCCTGAGATGCCTTGCGAGGCCCTGACGGGCTCCTGACGGATCTCTCGTATTGGCTTGCGGCCTGGGGAGCGCGGACCCACCCACTGTCATTTAATTACTGGGTTCGTGGCCCTGCGCGCGCGGTTCCATTCTTTTCTAGTTGGGGTCGTGGGCCTGGGAGCGCAGACCCATTGTGTTGAGCTAGGGGTCGTGACCTTCGGAGTGCGGATAGCGCGAAGCGATGCTTGTAGTCGCCGGTGTTTCGTTGTGTTGCTTATCCAGCAGCCTGCAGCAATTCCCGCCACCGTGCCATCTCAGCGTTCTGGGTGACGATTGCTCGAGGGGGCACGAGAGGCCGTCACGTGTGTCATGATGACGATGATGACGATGCTGATGATGCTGATGATGCTGATGATGATGATGCCGTGGTGATGGTGACTATGATTATGCTGATGATGACGATAATGAAAACGATGATGACCATGATGTGGATATCCTGGGTTATGGTGATGATGACGATGATGTGCATGTAGATGCAGATGTTGCTGATGATGACGTGGATGCGGATGCTGCTGATGATGATTATGATGATGCAGCTGTTGCTCATGATGATGCCGATGATGATGATCCTACTGCTGATGACGATGATGATGCTGCTGCTGCGACGATGACGATGACGATGACGATGTTGCTGATGATGATGATCATGATGATGATGAGGCTCACGATGATGATGATGATGATGATGATGATGATGATGATGATGATGATGATGATGATGATGAGAAGGAGGAGGAGGAGGAGGATAATGATGATGCTGATGATGCTGCTGATGATGGTGTTGACGACGTTGACGATGCTGATTGTGCAGAGGATGATGCTGATGCTGCTGAGCATGATGATGCTGATCCTGATGACGACGACGATGACGATTACGATTACGTTGACTATTATGATGATGCTGGTGGTGGTGGTAATGATGATTATAACGATGATGATTTTGGTGATGCTCATGATGATGATGCTTGCGAGTACGATGCTGTTGATGGTAGTGATCATGATGATGATGATGGTGATGATCACGATGGTGATGATGCTGGAAAACAGGATGCTTATGATGACGGATGTGACGATGATGGTGATGGTGATTGTGATGATGTTGATGTTGATGAAGATGATGATGCTGAGGCTGAGGCTGACACTGCTAGTGGTGATGATGAGGATGATGATGATGACGACGACGATGACAATGTCGACGACGATGATTACGATGACGTTTATGATGATGATGATGGTGATGATGATGATGATGATGATGATGATGATGATGATGTTGACGACGACGTTGATGAGGATGGTGATCATGCTGATTATGACGACGACGATGATGATGCTGATGATTTTGTCTATGGTGATGAGGATGCTTATGAGGACGATGAGGATGAGGAGGATGATTATGACCATGATGATGACGATGACAACGATGCTGATGCGGATGCTGATGATGGTGGTGATTACGCTTAGTACGATGATGATGGTGATGATGGTGGCGGTGATGATGATGACGATGATGGTGATGATGATATGACGATGACGATGATGGGGGTGGTGATGATGATACTGATGGTGATGATGGGGATCAGGATGATGGTGAGAATGAGGATGAGGATGATAATGAGGTTGAGGATGATGCTGAAGATGAAGATGGTGATGATGCGGATCGGCTGATGACGATGGTGGTGATGATGATGATGACGATGATGATGATGGTGACGATGGTGATGATGGTGATGATGGTAATGATGATGATGATGATGATGATGCTGATGATGATGATGCGAATGTTGATGATGATGATGATGATGATGGCGATCATGATGATGGGGGTGAATGACGATAATGATGCTAATGGTGATGTTGGTGTTGATGCTGATGATGATGACCTTGGCGATGACGATGCCGATGATGATGCTGATGATTATGATGATGATGATGACGATGATGATGATGATGATGATCATGATGGTGAGGATGATGATTGTGAGGATGATGATGTGGATGATGATGAGGATGAGGAGGATGATGATGATGCGGATGACTATGATGGTTCTGATGATTCTGATGTTGCTGATGATGATGCTGATGATGGTGATGGTGATGATGATGCTGCCGATGCTGATGATGATGTTGATGACGACGTTGCTGAGGACGATGCTCATGACGATGCTGACGATGATGATGCTGATGATGCTGGTGATGATAATACTGATGCTGATGCTCATGGTGATGCTGATGATGATGAAGATGCTGATGATGTTGATGATGATGATGATGCTGATACCGATGACGATGATGATGGAAATGATGCTGATGATGCTGATGATGATGATGGTGGTGATGATGATGCTGATGATGATGGTGGTGGTGATGATGATGATGCTGATGTTGATGCTGATGATGATGATGTTGATGATGCTGATGATGATGATGATGATGCTGATGCTGATGATGCTGATGATGCTGATAGTGGTGATGATGATGCTGATGATGTTGATGACGATGATTGTAGAGGTGGTGATGATGATGCTGCTGATGCTGATGCTGATGCTGATGCTGATGATGATGTTGTCGATGATGATGGTGATGATGATGCTGCTGCTGATGATGATGATGGTGGTGATGATGCTGATGATGATGATGGTGGTGATGATGATGCTGATGATGATGATGGTGGTGGTGATGATGATGCTGATGCTGATGCTGATGACGATGTTGATGATAATGCTGATGATGCTGATGATGATGATGCTGATGATGCTGATGCTGATGATTATGATGATGATGCTGATGATGATGGTGGTGATGATGGTGATGGTGATGGTGATGGTGATGATTGTGATGGTGGTGATGGTGATGCTGATGCTGAAGATGAAGATGATGATGGCGGTGATGATGATGATGATGGTGATGCTGCCGATGCTGATGATGATGATGCTGATGATGATGATGATACTGATGCTGCTGATGATGATGATGATGATGCTGATGCTGATGATGATGATGACGACGATGACGATGATGATGATGCTGATGATGCTGATGATGCTGATAGTGATGATGCTGATGATGCTGATGATGCTGATGATGATGATGGTGATGGTGATGGTGATGATGATGATGATGATGATGATGATGATGGTGGTGATGGTGATGGTGATGGTGATGGTGATGGTGATGGTGATGATGATGATGCTGATGATGCTGAGGCTGGTGATGGTGATGGTGATGATGATGATGATGACGATGATGATGATGATGATGATGATGCTGATGATGATGTTGATGCTGATGATGATGCTGATGATGCTGATGATGGTGATGATTGTGATGATGATGATGATGATGATGATGATGATGATGATGATGATGATGCTGATGATGATGATGATGATGATGATGATGATGATGATGATGGTGATGACGACGACGACGACGACGACGACGACGACGACGACGACGGCATTCGTTTGGGCCTCCTGTGGGGCTGTCTTGGCTCTCACTGAGGCAGTCTGTGGGGTCCCTTGGGCCATATTTGGCCGTCTTGGGGCCCTCTTACGCGGGCTTGAGGCTCTCTTCGGCCGTCTTGGGGCCTTCTTGGCCGTATGGCGGGTATCTGAGGGTTGTCGTGGGGCCGTTTGGGCGCAGTTTTGGACCGTCAAAGGGCTCTTCTAAGGCCGTTCTGGGTCCCACCCGAAAACCTCTAGAGCCGTCTTGGGGCCGTCTTGGATGTCGCTTGGGCCATCGTGCAGTCCTCTTTCTTGGGCCGTCTTGAGCTGCCAGCAGCCCGAAAATACGATACTGCGAACATCATTCAACAACCGAAGGGAAATCAAGGAGTTTGGTTTCTTCTGATCCTGTTGGGGGTCTTTTGTTTTTGGCAATTTTGGGCCCTCTTGGGGGCATCTTGGGCCGTCTTGAATCAATGTTCGGCCGCCTTGGGGCCAGCTTGGGCCGTCTTCGAGGTATCTTGGGACATCTCGGTGTCCTTGCTTGCCTGCGCGGGCCGTCTTGTAAGCTCGGGACGCATTCTCCGTCGTTTTTAACAAGGGATCGTGGCCTGGGAGGTCCTGGAGCGCTTGGCAGCAGCGCCCGGGAAGGCGGGAAGTGGACGATCCTCAAGCGGGTGCGGGTGAGATGAGGGGTCCAGGACACCTGCCATGCGGGAAGTGCACCACCCTCGAGCAGGCACGCGTGGAATGGGGGATCAGGCGTTGCTTGCCATGCTAGATGTGTACCATCCTCGAGCGGGGGCACTGGGGAAGCGGCCTCGGCGAGCACGTGGGATGCGCGCTGGAGTCTGACGGCCGAGGGAGGGCGCGGCCCCTCACTGGAATTAAAACAGCCCGATGTACCAGGCAGAGCTTTGGCATTCTTCCACGCCTCGACGTGCCAGGCGGCACGGTGGCGGATCTCCTTTCGCTGAGACGTCGAGAGATCCCCAAGGCAGCCCAAGGGGTTGCCAAAATATGCTCCAGGCTCCAGGAGTCTCTCGGGGCAGACCCAGGGGCTTCCGTGGACACAGCCGGTCCAGGAGAGGCCCACGGAGGACGGAGGTGCCGATGGTGGCCCCAGAGGGCCACGATCGTCAACATGCTGGAGGATTTGCGCAGTTTTTGTGTTCTCCATCTCCTCCATTTCCTCCTCCTCTTCCTCCATCTTCTCCTCCTCCTCCTCCATCTCCTCCTCCATGTCCCTTTCATCTCCCTTCCATCTCCTCCTCCTCCTCCTCCTTCTCCTCCTCCTCCTCCTCTTGGTTTTCGGCTAACATGAGTCGACCAGGGTTCACAGGGCTCGAGAAGGGGAGGCCCGAGCGGCTCCTTGTAACGATCTAAACGTCCTCCCAAAGGGGACCCAACGGACTCCAAGGACAGGTCAAGAGGGCCTCCAAGGCGGTCCAGGACGCTCTTGGGAGGGAAGCTTCACTGCTTTCGACCTGGAGTGCTCTTGCTACGGACACTAACATATAGCAAAGCCCTGATGTTCCCAAGTCCCTACGCGGCGGCTAATTTAAGGCGAACCCCTTATCGACAGTATGCCAGATTGCCCGCAGGGCAGATTAGTTGTTCCCCAATCAGAGCTTGCCTCTATAGGGGTCCCAGCGAATTCATGTGGTTTGGTGAAGTGCGTCGCCGTCTTCGGTGGCCAGCCCGGGTGCCCAAGTGCCTGGGTGCCCGGGTGCCCAGATGCCCGGGTGCCCAGGTGTTCGGTAGCCCTACAGCCCTATAGCCCATAGCATATAGCCTTATAGCCCTAATATCCCTATGGCCCAATAGCCCTATAGCCCTACAGCCCTACAGCCTTAAGCCTTATAGCCTTACAGCCCTATAGCCCTATAGCCCTATAGCCCCATTGCCCCGTAGCCCCATAGCCCCATAGCCCTCTAGCCCCATAGCCCCATAGCCTTGTAGTCCTACAGCCCTCTAGCCCTACAGCCCTAACAACGCTATGATTGCGGCTTTTCTCCTGTATCATCTAGTTACTGAGTTGCAAAGAGCACGTTGAGATGTGAAGATGCTTGAGTCGCGCTGGGCCGCACGCAGCGTGGTGACCCCGCAGGAGGGCCAGTGGACATTGGTAACTTTTCTGGCGCTTTCGACCTTTTCTTGGTCCTCGGTTCTTGGATGGACCTCATAGTTGCGCTCTATGGTTTGACGCACCCGCTGCTCAAAGCGGCGTCCACTGTTGTGCGCCTGCTCCGAGTGGTGAGAATCTTCCGCCTGCTGCGGCTGCTGCCAGAGTTGAGGATGCTCGTCTCCGCATTGTTGGCCACGTTCCGATCAGCCAGCTGGGCGGTGCTGATGATTGCCCTCTTGACCTATTGTGGTGCCCTGATCTGCACTGACGCTTTTATGGGCAGCGCGAACGAGGAAATCATGTTCTTGTTCGGCTCTGTTGGGAGCAGCATGGTCACACACGCGAAGCTCGTATCGAGTGGCCTCCGGCCCACCCTGCCACCGTGCCTGGGTTGTGTGTATGAAGCCTATTGGATGCTCGCTGAAGAATGGCATAAACATAACATTTCGGAGGTCCGCGCGGATTTCTCGGATCCGCGCTGGATCCCCCTAGCAGCGCCTCTGGCACCGCCCCTGGCGCGCTCCGCGCACAAGGGAAGGGGATCCAGCGCCGATCCGAGAAATCCGCGCGGACCTCCGAGTTTTTATGTTTATGTCATTCTTATTTCCCTAGGGAAGCGCGCCAAGCCCCAGAAGATCTGAGAATTTGGGGCCCATGATCGACTCCACGAGAGTGCTGAAGGAATTGGGCAAAACACCTGAGGACGCGCCCACTTCCCGGCCGGCGGCACGGTGGCGGATTCTTGGAGGCATGGCCTGACTTAGCAGAACCGATGATTGCGGAAAGCGCATGGTGGGCTCTGTACGTTATTGCTTTCGTCATTGTTACCAACGTGATGTTGATGAACGTCGTCACCGGGGTGATCTGCGAGCAAGTCATGGAGCTGGCCAGGAAGAAGATACCGGACCACCAGAAGACCTTGGACCAGCTGGACCTGTGGAAGCTCAAAGTGTGGGAGCTGTTCTGCGAGTATGACGCAGATGGGAGCAGCGCCCTCGACACTGGCGAGTGCGTCAGCCTTCTGCGCTCAGTCAGAATGCGGGAGGTGCTTCTCGAGATGGGGGTTGGTCTGCCGCTCGAGCGGGAGCACATCATCTGCGTCCTCGACGAGGGCGGCAAGGGAACGCTCTCGTTCCACGACCTGTTCAGTGGCATACTGAGGCAGCAGGGCACGAAGTCCGACATCCTCTCCCAGTCGCTGCAGTACGGCCTCGCCAGGTCTCGGCACCACCCAAACATACTCTACTATGTGTGCGTCGGCCCCCCAAGAGCGATGCGCGCGCGCTCAAACATCCTGTTAGTACATGCTCGGTGGCGGGCGCTTCCTGGCCACACCGCTTGGATTTCTCAAGTGTGTATCACGTTTGTGTCAGTCCTGTAATTCATTTGGGGATTGGCCGCTGAGGCGGTCGCGAGTGCGATTCTCTCCAAGGCAAAGCACGGCCCCCTCGTGGGAACCGTGCGGCTGATTAGCTGGGAGCGGGCATCCTACCGCACCTCAGTCGTTGCCCGACTTCATCCCTCGCTCCTGTGCCCTGGACCCTTCGCACACCATCAAGCTGTGATGCCGGGGGGACTTCCGATGGGTGACGACGCTCGACTCCCCAGACCGCCGAAGAGATCGTCTTCGAGGATGGGCGGGGCTCCTTTGTGCTGCAGTGGCTGCTTTGGCTCAAGCCTTAGCCATTTTGGCTCAAGGCTAAAGGTGGCTCAAGGAGGCTCCAGAGATAGTGAAGGCACTGCCCAATACTGTGCAATACAATTTCCCAACACTTTCATCACACCCATTCTTATTTCCTCTTGCTTCTCCCTGTGCACACATTGGGCAATCAATTATGGCAACTCGTACGCCCGGCACGCCCGTGAAGGACGTATTGCAGCCACGACTTGACGGTGTTCAGCAAGCCGCTGGAACCAGGCCGAAGCGTCCAGAACGTCCGAAGTACATGCTCTGGCCACGCCGCCGCCTCGAAGTGCACTCAAACAACCTCGGCTTGGAAGTCCAGACGCGACAATGGAGCACGAGCCAGTTCAAGTTGAAGGCCGAGATCTTCAACCTCAACACTACAATTTCCCCTGCGGCGCCGCATCTACAGGAAGCGGGTCGCCCAAGACCGTCGATAAAAACGACGACGACGACTTGGAGGAAGACGAGCCCGTCAGGATGAAGGCCATGCGGGAGATGTTCAAGGAGCACCTTGAGCCCACGGTGCGGGCAGTCCGGACACTTGGGCACGATTTCAAACATTTGCAGGAGATTTTCGTTACCGATGTCCGCCACATCAAAAAGATCATGGAGGCAATCGTGAAGGATAACAGTGTACGTAACACAGACATGGAGGACGACATCGAACACTTACAAGACAGCATCGACAACACCATCAGGACAGGAAAGAAATTGCGACGCTACAGACAAGTACCACACCAGGATCTACAGGGGCATCTTCTGCAACGGGGGCGCACACCAAATCGACACTTGCAGTGGGAGGACTACCACACAACACGCTCGCGGATGCGGAAAAAATTGTATTCAAAGTTTTGGAAGACGCTCGATGCGCAAGCCCTTCGAAGACTCTTACAAGAAAGCTCCCCGGAAGAAGGCTTCAAGAGCATGCTCTTTTTATCGAGTTCTTGTCTCCAGGGCTGTCCCAACAAGTGCTACCTATTCTACAATAAGCATGTGGACAACATAATCCAAGACAAGGATCCCGCAGGGCATGGTGCAACACGGTCGCTCTCATTGAGGAGAGGACCACCACCTCATTGCTATTAGGTCCCCGATATCTTCTCACGATGCCGCGGTAGGGGTTCAACGCAAAGTACATCAAAGTCGACGGGACACGGGGGTCTTCAAGGCTGGGGGGATATTGATACTCAAAGTGCACGTTGTCAACCATAAACTAAACGAATAATGGTTAGATACGGAATGGGAGACATGGGAAGAGCTTCGATCATTTCCAGATAGGCAGGAACTGCCGCAGAAGGCTTCGGATCGCTTGGCAGCGAGCGCGGCCGACGCGGCCAAGGGGGCTGGCAAAGGAAAGCTGAGAATTGATGGTGCCATGGGCACCGGGCTGTTTCACCTTCCAGGACCGCTGACCCTGGAAGTTCTCCGCGTACGATTTTTCCCAAGGGTAGACTGGGCGAAGATACCATCTATCCTTCTGGGCCGCATGTCCACGAACACCATTCTGAACTTCGGTACGCTACTTGGAATGTACGCGGTTTGACACATCAGAAAATATGGAAATTACAGAACACATGGAAACATACAGTACACATATTTTATGCATGCAGGAAACATGGAAACATAAATTATAATATTTCGAAGATGAGAACAGTCGGTGCCGCATTCTCCTTTCGGGAGAAGATACAGAAGCAACGTCTCGGGCTGGAGTTGGCTTTACCACGTCTCCGAGCCACGCCCCTTCGGTGCGATCTTGCGAGCAATGTTTTGAAAGAGTCCTACGATTAATAATCAAATTGGGAGACCGCGCGTTCGGGTTTTTCGGCGCGCACGCGCCCCATAATTTGAAGCCCTTGCCGGAAAGGCGTTCGTTTGGGAGGACTCTGGACGCCGTGTTCCGGACATGTTCGGCCGCGGCCGGCAAGCTTGCCATGCGGGGCGTGATTGCACGAATCGGGGGTGCAGACGCTCGGAAATCGACGACAATTCGGCCGCTCACTCGGGGCAGGCAGGCTCTCCGTCAAGTTGAAGTTCCCGACCGGGATCTATTCGTGGAGCTTTGTTTCGGCCTTGATGTATAATTGGCAGATTTTTTGACTGGCCATTGGGAGACACAGTAACCTTCATGGCGCCAAGCCATTGGGGCTTCATACAGAGGACAAGTACAACATCTTTGAATACGTCATGCGCGACGCTGCCACGCTGGGTCAAAAACGGGATTTAAGAACGCATCGCGAAGCAGTTCTGGCCACGGACCATTACGTGTTGACAGTGAAATTCCAGCATTCTCAGCATGGCGATCCGTTGCAACGCAGACCCCATATAGGCCCTAGAGATAGAGTTCTACTACGAGGCCCAGCTGTGCACTCATTGCTTGCAGAAGCGCTTCTGGGTGACATTGCCGGGCGCCCAGCTGCCAGGAACGCGGGCGTTGCGCGGGGGCAGGGCGCCCGCGCAGCACGTGTAGCCGCCGCTGTTCTACCGCGCAGTTCAGAAGAAGTAAGGCGGCCATGGGCGTCGCGACGAACATTGGCACTGATGCAGCAAAGAAGCGAAGCCCGCGCCAGCAACGACCGTCCATAATAATGATGTTTGCTCAAAGAGGTGCGACGATCATGTGCAAATGACAAGACAATGTGGCTGAGCTCAAGCATTGCATCTGGGCGTTGGGACGACTTCCGGAGGTGTTTTTCAGACCGCGGCAACATGAGCAAGGCAGGCTTCAAATTTTACTTGGGCAGTTGGTTGAAAACCATGAGCGGGCAGATGCCGCGGCGACTTATTTGGAGCAAGTTCAATGGAAAGCACGGCCAGCTAACTTGGTTGACAACGAACCTCCCCGTCTGCGAGGCGGCTTTCACCGCGCAGTAGGTAGGGGAGCCAACGCGAAAACTCAACGGGGGGAACGGCAGCAGGCAGCAGGGCCGAGCGATATCCCCGCGGAAGATTGGAAAGCAGTGGCACGAACACTTGGTGGGTTACAGTGGGTTACAGAAGTATGCGACACAATTTGGGCGGAACATGCAGTTCCCGAAGCGCGGCGGCGCGCTGCGGTGAGCGCGATGCACAGGAACACGGGCCCGGTCAACATGCATCAAAGTTATTGACCAATCAGTTTACTACGCGTGGCGCACATGCTGCTAGCTAGCCCCTCTCAATTTCGCCGTCTACATCGAGCGGGGGCGGAAGACAGATTGCCCCAGACTGGGTGCGGTTTCCGCCGACGGCGAGGCGCAGATGACATTCGCGCAGTGCGTCGTCATATTGAGCTCGCGCGCGCTAGAACTAATGTTGGGAATGCTTGCGTTGCTTTCGCATTGAAAGAAAGCCGTTGGTTCTATTGACGTTGAAGCTCCGCTAGATGCGCCGCGCCGTTTTGGGGCGCCATTGGACTAGGTCGCGACGATTGGGGAGATTTCGAGGCCGGGCGATTTTGCGTGGCCGACGGGGCAAGCACATCTTTTGAAAGAAAGCAGATGTCTGGAATCTCACAGGGGCGCCCGCCATCGCCATTTTTCTGCGTCACGCTGATGACTGCACTTGTGCGAGGCGCCTCGAACGACCTGAACGACAATGATAAGTTCGACATGGATCCCGGCGATCTCTCCGAGCCGTTGCACGCCGACGCCGCGCTGCTTATCGGGGGAAGCCAGACCAGCATGCAACATCTCTTGGACAACGTCGCTTCGGCGGGGGCGCGAGTGGGAACGGAACTACACTGGGGCAAAGTCCAGATTGCCCAGATAAACAGCGACGCGACGTCGAGGGCGCTGGCCAGGCAGAGCATCGTAGAGAAGCAACGCATGGCATCTTCGGGTGCTATGTTATATAATAGTGGGCAGTCGGGCACCGAAATAAACAGAATAATCGGGGCAGCATGGGCTGAATTTTCCAATTCCAAATGTGACAGAGCATGGAAACGCGCTGCTTTGAGTCAGCGTCGCAAGCTGGGTATACTTCAAGCGTTGGCGCATAAAGATTTAACATTCATTCTACGCGGCGCGGTTGCATAAAGTTGAGAGGAGAAGGTTGGACGCATTGCAGGCCAGATGCCTACGAATAGTATTGCAGGCGCCTTCCAATTTTCCCACGCGAGTGCCTTGCGGCAAGATGAAGGAGCAAGCCGGGCAACCGCAGTGCAGCGCGCAATTTCTTCAACAGCAGATAATGCTACTTTGGGGAATCCAGACGCAGACTTCCTGCGGCGACTCACTTTCCAGCCCGGCGCCGCTCGTTCAGCCGCGTTCAGCCGACAGGGGGGCCCAAACCCAGACACGAATGGGCGACGTGTCTACACGAGGCGTTGGTAGATCATCTTGGCCTGGAGAATTTTGGGTCGCAGCGCCTGCAGGGCCCCGTCGAGTGGCGAAGAATTGCGAAGCGCATTGCAAGCAAGGGGGATGAAGGTGACCACTTCTAGCCATACTGCACATGCATTGCACGCGATGCGCGGCGCCTAGGCACGCTATATCTTTCCCGCGCGATTCGGCGCATGGCCCAGCGCGGCGCGGCTGCTCGAGAAGCCTGGCCC